TGTCCAGAGAAGGGCTACAAAGCTGGTGAGGGGTCTGGAGGACAAGTCTTATGAGTAACAACTGAGGGAACTGGGCTTGTTTACCCTGGAGAAGAGGAGGCTGAGGGGAGACCTTATCACTCTCTACAACTACCTGAAAGGAGGTTGTAGAGAGGTGGGGGCTGACCTCTTCTCCCTGGTGACAAGTGATTAGGACGAGAGGAAATGGGTTCAAGCTAAGTCAAACAAGGTTTAGATTAGATATTAGGAAAAAAAAATAAATCACTGAAAGGGTTATTAAACATTGGAATAGGCTGCCCAGGGAGGTGGTGGATTCGCCATCCCTGGAGGTCTTTAAAAAAAGGGTAGATGTGGTACTTGGGGACATGGTTTAGAAGTGGTTTTGTCAGGGTAGGTTAATGGTTGGACTTGATGATCTTAAAGGTCCCTTCCAACCTCAGCAATTCTATGATTCTATTCTATGATTTACATACTGAGTAGGTTTAAAAGCTGGTGGTATTTGTAGCATGCAAGTTAAAGAAGAGACTAGTTGGCAACTATGAGGAGGGCAATGCATATGTACAGATTATTTCTCTAATATGATAGTCTTCTCACCTCTTGATATAAAAACTACATCAGGTTACAATTTGTTAAATTGCCAATAGCTATTTGCTGATGTCTTTATCCCTGATGTTAGACTTATCTACTACTCCAAACCCAGTATCCTGTCAAGACTATGTAACAACCTCTCCTTGCCATATACTTCTGGATATGCCAAGATGAATGAGACATCTGGCAGGAAATCCTACGCCATTCACACACACCAAAACCTGCGCTGATATTTGACCTGTCCCAAGGTGTGACACTAAACAAATCACATTTCAGTAAAATATTAAAGTATCCCAAATTTGCATCTTTTGATGTAACTGATACGGAGGTCCGCCAGAGACCGGGGCAAAATCCAATACCTAAATCACAAGCTTGCAAAGTAACAGTAATGCTTGCTGTTCTGGGGTGTTGACCGCATTGGAGGGTACCTTTGCAGAAGAAAGTCACTATGAATTACTCTCGATAATCTGCTTGCTTTCCAGAGTCCACATAATCTTCAGAGCACCAGTAAGTCCTCTCCGCCTTCACCACGGGACAGGATCTAGGGACTCCAGCACGCAGGCAAAGTTTACTGCATTGAAAGCTGTTTCTGCACAAGCCTCACGTGCACTCCTTTCATGGCAGCTGGGTTGCTCTCCCGCACGCGATCCCTACTTTTTTCTCAGCTTCCAAGTGCCCATTCTTGCCCTTTTTGCCGCCTCCTCTCTCTCTGTTTCCTGCAGCTAAAGCAAATGTGTCACGACTGATTTCATAGTCACGCAGCAGAGGAGTCAGAGCAAAAAACTTGAGACCGCAGCACTGGATATTTTTCCTTTCTCTGGTGCAGGCAGAGACAGCGATAAGAATACCTTTTTTTAATGGGTTATGAAGAGATCAGTTTTGTGTATAGACCTCTCCGAAACTACAGCAAGAATCACACACGTAGCAAGATACACAGGTTTAAGTATGATGCCAGATGACCTCAAGAAGCACCAGGTAACATTTCAGCTGAAACAATTGCCAACAAAAAAATATAGCTTCAGCAGCATTGAAATGTCTTATGAACATGTGCCAGGTTTTTTGAAGTCTCTGTTTTGGCAGAAAACTTGAAATATTCCTAATAAGTTGAAAGGCTTCGTTGACATTTTCAACGTGCAATATTTGGTCTCCTGGTTTGCTACAAGTTTCTTTCAAAATTTTCTATAATAAAGCTGCTTTGAAGCAAACCCCCTGAAATCTGCCTGGGTCTTCACTACTGTTTTGCTCTGCAGATCTGCTCCTACTGCACGGTGCTGTTTGCTAATGTAGACAAAGCCACTGTCTTCCAAGCAAGAAATCAATTCAACCTGAACATACAAAACAAAACAATAAAAATAATTTCATAACTTATTGCATTTGACATTCTTTTCTTTAGAAGTAGGCAAGACAGCTGAATATAGTAGGCCAGCCAAGACCAAGGTGCCCTGGCAGAAATTCATTGTCTGTCTGTCCCGTCTCATATGGGCCCTCTCACTTCACTACTGTCAGACCTTTAATGTATTAAAGTGTTCCCCAAAATGGGCTTTACCATCCTCTCTTCCTAAGGAGTAGCAGGACAACCTGTCAGATTATCATGTATAGAAGTTGGGTCCATCCTGTCAAACTTGTTCCATTTCCATCAGGACACAGTCACTGAGGATAACAAAAAACAAACAAACAAACAAAATCCCTAGCTTAATACTTCCACTATTCACCTAGGTGCTCAGAGCCTTGGTACCCAAACCCTGTTCTAATAACCCTCAATGCTTTTGAAAAGTAGAATAAGACCTGCAGCAGGCTTTTGGACTTAATCACCTTCCCCATAATTTGGAACATCCACTGGGAGGTGGGAGATGTGGGTTCAGACTTCTTTTCACAGTAAGGGCAACTTGAGCACGCAGCTTGACGCGATGGGGTTCCTGCACCTTGGCTGAGGGGAAGGCAGAGACAGGTCCTCTGTCACTCCTGGAAGTTGGTTTCACTACATCCCTTCCCATTTACAACTAGTTAACAAACTTCACTTCAGGTGGCAAATAGATGTGGTTGTTCTAAAACTGCATTTTTCAGCAAATTTACCATTCACAGAAAAGCATCGTGTAGCTTTAAGACGAATGCATTAAAATTGCTCAGACACAGTCACAGAGGGCCAGGGACTGTCTTTGAATATTCCTTTGCTATCATTGCCACAACTCATTTATATTTCTTCTAGATGAACCTTCCCAAATGCCTTAAAGGTAAGGAGAAGTGAATGGTGCTGCCATGAGAGCAGTGCACGGGAGGGACTTCCCTCAGACAGGACAGCTTTTGTCATGCTATTGCAAACTGTCCTTCAGGAACATCGTCATCTCCTGGAAACCCATGCCTCGTTCAAACGATCTGGATGGCAGTGTCAGTAGGCACCAAGCCCAGTTCAACAGATGGACATTATACAGGTGGCCAGGAGCCCATGAAAAAACATAAAACATGGTGATTACGGCTGGTCTGGTGTCATAACACAGCCAAAAAAGCTGCTGCCCATCTTGCGCTCCTCACGAGGGGAGATACTAGGAGCAACTGAAATTTTCTGTTCCCCGTTTGTAAAAGTAGGAGCCCTGTGCAGCTTTGTGACATTTCACAGGCTGGTTAGAGGCTAAGAAATCTGGGGACAAAGGCTGTGCATCAGCAAGTTTCTAGGAATGGTACTAGAAGCTCAAGTGTATTTTCCTTTAACTCCCAACCCAAACAGGGAGTCCTGCAGCCAACCCCATTCCAGCAGTGGCTTTGAGGCTACCATACCGCATCCATCCCAGCAGACGGAGAGAAGGCTACTCCATGCCTGACTGAGAGACCAGATCTTTTCCTCTGCAGCTGACCAGCTCTGTAGTGCACATGTGAGCACGACAATATGTTTTTTTCCTGCTTGTCCTGGCATGGGACGACATCAGCCTGGTGCAGTCCTCGCATCCACGTGGGCACAAGCACCTTCCCTCATGCCGATCCTCACCCAGTCTTCTTTGAATGAGGAGCCCCCGGTTCCTGGCTAGTGCTTGCCCCTACCTGACATGCTTTGAACATTCGGTACTCTCAGTGGCACAGCCCAGAAGCTGTGTAGCTCCTCCCCACTCACCAGGCTTCAAAAAAACTGCATCAAATGATCCAGCCCCTCCTGCAAGAGTGCATCTCGGGTGACATTATCTCCCCAGCTCAGCTTTGTGCAAGAAACTGCTTTCAGGGTCATCCTCTGACCTTCTGCAAACTCACACAAATGCATGGCGGCTTGCCAGCATTTAGATAAAATCGGATCTGGAGTCTCCCGAGCCCCGAGGAGCACCTGAAGACTAGGCGAGCTGCTCAGTGATTTGCAGTCATGCATCCCAGCAGCTTCACGGCAGCCCGGAGAGGCACCGATGACCGTGAACGCTGGTGAAAGCGGATCACGGCGCATTCCGCACGGGCGCTTTGCTTCTGCTACTTTCATTAAGGGACAGCGAGCAAATAAAATCAGCAGCAACACATTTTTGCTGTCAGG